ACAATCAGAACATCTTGTATTAACGTTCCTAAGACACATTGCAGAATACATATTCAGAATCTTGACTTCAACATTAACATGTAACCACCACATGTTTTCTTCTAGTAGTGTATGTCCAGAACCTAATGATGTCACACGCCTTGATACCAGAGTTAGGACATTACAACAGTAACTACACACTAGAACAAACCATTAGATATACAATTATTCTTAAAGATAACATGTAAAGTTATCATCAAAATCTTCACGCTAGATGTAGAAACACTTATTGTTCTTACAATCTCCCTCTTTTTGATGATGACAAAACCTTGTATTTTGATAGAACAATTTATACAAGGTAATCACCGTAACCAACAAACTTAGAGTTAAGCTCACAACTCCCCCTGAATGTTAATCCCAAAATTGTATTTAAGCTTATTCAGAGTCTCCCTCCTGAGCCCAAGACTCACAAAATAAATTTTGAGTTATCAAAACATAGAAAAAGAGAAGTAACACTTAGCTACAACAACTCATCAGAGTCTGACTAGAGCACCTGGTCTTAATTTCAGAACCTGGTTACTATCAACACTTGATGAAGAATCAAAATTTGATTTTAAGCCTAATTAAATAATTCCACATATCACGTATCAGCGCTTCTATTTCATGATTATGAAATCACAAACAAAACACTATACTTCTTGAGAAGTTCATTACTTCTTAAGTATCAGCATTTGACTTGATATTTTTCAGTATATCAATCATTCAGGCAGTTCATAACTTTTGAGTAGAGCATACGTTGTGAAAGCACATGTATCAGAGCATAACTTATGAGTGACATCTCTGTATAAGAGCATGCATCATATTATTGACTTATCTTACTTTTAAGATAGCATAACTTCTGGAGCTCTAAGTTTGAATTTCATACTATCAGAGAGTTAACAACTTCTGAAAACTATGATATCAAGCAATATTACCTTACTTTCAGTAAGTTTATAACTTCTGAATTGTGTTTGGTACATCTGTTTGAATATTCATATGTTCATAGAGTGTACAAATTCTTAAATATGAAACCAGAGTTGATATCATCCATAAGGTTTTCAACCTTAGCATCTTCATATTCAACCTTTCTTATAATACTCAGTGAACTTGTTTAAAGTTCCTGGATTAAAACATCAAACAAACAGTTAGTAGCAACAACATTATACACGTTTGAGTTTAAGATTATGAGAATAAATATTATCAAAATCATTTTTACTTTATCCCCCTTTATTTGAAATCAAAAAGGTGATAAAAAAAACAGAAAAAGTAAACTTTGATTAAAGATTTTTCAAATCTTAGTGTCTTTTACTTATAAACAATTTTAAGTTTTGTTTTAAGACAAAGGATTTAAAGGAAATGTTTGGTATATTTTTATGGGAATGATTTAGTTGAATCAACACACATATATCTAATATAATCCAATCACAAAACATTTCATTAATTGAGCAAGGAATAATAAGTACGACACAATACTTATTAGGACACACAACACAACTAGTAGAGACAACCCTATAGCCTAAACTTCAAGGACTTCACACCGGACTTCCTCAAGAACATCCTCAGGTTCATTGCAACGAATGCCTCTAATAATCCTAGCCCGGGTGAAGAGTATAGAGAGAACTCTTGCAAATTGTATGAATGTTTGGTACCGAGTTCTAGAAGCAACGATTGAGTCTCTTATGTAGTTAGAAATGGATTGAGGCAAGTTGACTATAAAATGATGGGTAAGGAAGTAAATGAGAACTCTATCCTCATCGGTTAGAGTGTTCAGTATATATCCTCTAGGTCTAAAATTTGTCAACACAAGCTGAAACCACACTGAAGCAGCGGGAAGAAGATTGGAAAGATTTGTGTGACCATATTCATCAGAGATATTATGAATAGAGCGAAGTCTATCAACAAAGGAGTATCTATTTTGGAAGGCTTATATGGTAATTCCAACTTCGGAATAACCAATAGCAATTGCAATAGATGTTGAGGAGATGATGATGGGATTACCAAAGACAAATGAGTGGATGGAAGTGACATTAGACCTAACATCAACATGTATCCAGAAGTCCATGACCAGATTAGGATATATTGGTCCAAACAACATAGCGAAATAACTGGACCATCCTTGCATGATTATACTCTAAGCAAGACGAAGATTATCACTGATTATCCTTGGAATATTTAGGCGTCATTCACAAATGATTTTGAGAGAGTCTTCATCACCATGAAAGGTTCTTGAAGCCACGAGGAGAGATAAATATGGAGAGAGAAGACAATTGGTGTTTGGATAGATGAATAGATAGAGAAGGGGGATAAACGCTTTAAATAGAGGAAGGGAAAGTGAATCTGACTGTATAAGAGACACAATTCAGATAACTGAGATAAATGGAGATTAACAGCTTAGTAAATGGAAATTTATGGTGAGACATATGAACAAGTTCCAAGACGCAAGAAAAGAGACAAGACAGACACATATGATAAGTATTGAATATAGCGTGTGTGATACGGTGGGAGAACTGACTTGAGGTTTTGCGTTTGTTTTTGCAAATATTTTGGTTGAGCAAGAGTCGCCACCAACTTTTTATTTTATCCTAAGGAAAGGTTAAAAAGCACAGCAAAAACCTTTGAGATGTTTTCTTGGGTTCGGGGAGTAGATTATAGAAAGGGAAGGTATTAGCACCCTTTCTATCCATGGTTATCCATGGGCTCTTAGTTACTTGCTTAGATCACTTGCCTTGCATTTTTAATTGTTTGAAATGGTGCTTTGTGTGTGTGTTTGAAAAGTAGGCAAGTGTTTTTTCAAGTTTGATTCAAGTAACTAAGAGTTGTCTACCTCTAAATTTACTCAAAGATCTTTCCTATGTTTTAACCCTTTTAACAATTTTGTTCCACCATTGTATTTGGTGGACAATCTTGTGTTAGGATGTTAACGAGACGGGCGCGGGTCATCGTTTAGACCATGATTGCAATAGTGCCAAGTGTCTTTGGCAACTTTTCCTTTAAGGGACTTGATCATTTTTTAGGCAACTTTCGAAAGCGTCATCGAGGGACTATCACTACAAGAAAAATGATAGATTGGGACGGTTATTTTGGCTGATTACGACGGTTAAAACCGTCGCAATTTACAATCTACGACGGTAGAAGTACCGTCGCAGAATCGTGCGTCCCCAGCCTATTTCGCGACGGTTGCAAAAACTGTCACGCACAACAGATAGCGACGGTTATATACCGTCGTGAATTTGACTTTATTTTTTGTTTTTGTTGTTGTTTGCGACGGTTATATACCGTCGTGAATTTGACTTTATTTTTTGTTTTTGTTGTTGTTTGCGACGGTTATATACCGTCGTGAATTTGACTTTATTTTTTGTTTTTGTTGTTGTTTGCGACGGTTATATACCGTCGTGAATTTGACTTTATTTTTTGTTGTTGTTGTTTGCGACGGTTATATACCGTCGTAATCTGATTTATAAATTTCAAATAATATTTTTATTTTACTATTATATTTAAATTATTATTTACTTTAATATTTTTTATTTATAGTATTTTTATTTTATTTTCTATCACTTTTCAACATTGTTTTGAAATGAGCAATCCAATTGTTTTGAAATATTTACTAACTCAGTATTATTAATTCAGTTGGGAAACCATTTGTAAAATAATGCAAGGAGACATTGCTTTTGCTATTGAAGCGTGAGATTTCCGTGAGATACCAGTACTTATTATTGGGAGAAAAGATTTATGAATTATTGCACATTGTAATATGCTTATACCACCTTATAACTTTGCTACAAGTTACCTATAACAAGTGAGATTTTCCGATTTTCAGGAACTATAACAAAAAGAGGTTAGCTCCGAAATCTCTTGATCATTTTGCAATCTTTGCAGCCATTTCTCTGACCAACTTAGCAGCTACCATAGCAGTCATTCCATCAACAGTATCGCGTTGTGGGTTGAGTTCAACGACGTCTCCAGCAACAACATCACCTTGAAGATTGTGTAGGATGTTAAGAACATCGCGGAAAGAAAGACCTCCCGGTTCAATATGAGACACTCTCGAAGCAAATGCAGGATCAAGACAATCCACGTCTATCGAGATATACACCCCTTTCACACCTTCCCCTAGTTTCTGCCCAATTTGATCTGATGAAAGTGATAATATAAAATGTTAGAAAACAGGAAAGGAGAATGTAGAAAGAATTAAAGAATTGATCCATCTCTCAAAAAAGACATCTCTTGTAAAATGTGAGACATACCAAATTGTTGTTTAACAGCAGGACTATTAAGGTCGAAATTCTTTAAGGTGTCCATCATTCGACTGTCCCATTCAGTGCCTCCACCCATGTTGTTTCTGAAACCAAATATATAGGAGAAAAAGAAAGGATGTGTGAATCCCTAGTGGCCAGAGAGTACAGTTTACCAATATATTACTAGAAAATACATTGATTTATATAACTGCAGCACATAGAATGACACTTTAGTGAGAAATAACAAATAAGATTTACATTTCTGTGCAACTTTAGGTCTAAAATCAACGTAGTGACCATGAATCCAGTCATAAGTAAACTCAAATAAAAGGTTATTGTACAAAAGCAGAAGAATGGTCATTTAATTTCCTCCAGGACTGGCATTTATCCTAATTCCAAATGTTAGGTTCTGTTAGGTAAAGAATAGGGAGTCAGATTCAGTGTTAACAAATAGCAGCGCCATGGGCGCTATGATGGATATACATGGCGGTGGACAAAAAAAGGCTTGGAAGATACTAGTACAATATAAAGAACTTACAGCATTTCTTCAAGTCGTTGACGGTACTCAGGATTCTGCAGCATCCCTGCCAAAAGCAGCAACAATACATCAATTATCCATCGGCCAAATTTATTAACATTTCTAAGATTAGACAGAACAACACGCTTAAGCAATTTATGTAACCTTTTTTTATATATCCAAAAAATAGGATTTACTTGAAGTTTAAAACACACATACTAACATGTATCTCAAGCATCATTATGTCCTAAAAGTGCCAAAAGCATTTTCTCATAGTCACCAGTTGTGTCCTTCACAATGGCACGGTCAAGAGGGACACTGTCCCTCCTTTGATACTCATCAGCCACAATTTTCAAGTCAATTTCAGCTCTTGTTGCCACAACTCTTGTAAGAGCCCCTTCATCCGTTCCGTGCTTATTGATCGACAGACGAACTATCTTCGCAAAGTACTTCTCAGGACGAGTCAAGCACTTGACAGTTGATCTCAGCAATGACAGAAACTCGTCTTTTGGATCTTCCTTCAGGTCCTATCAAAGTGTCTCAAAAAAAGATTAATACAGTTATTCTTAATCAGTTTTTGTAAAACAAGAAAAATGTGAGAACTAGTAGTACTCTACTAACCTTGTTTATATCTTTTCCAAATGCATCTTTGTAGTGATTCAAAGTAGCATTAACTTGTGCTTTGCTCCTTGTGGCCAGAATCCTAATGAGATCGTCGTCGTTATAAGCCTTTTTCGAAATCTTTTCGTGAAGTATCTTTGCCTCAGCTTTTGCTATAGTCAAGTTCACTTCATCTCCTTCATAGCGGTGAGAACTAACCAGAGGCAATAGGAGCTATATATACCAACAAAAAATAAGCTAACTTTGATATTTTGAGTGACACAAAATCTTAAATCACACATATAGCTCAAATTATTCATTATCTTGATACAAAATTTGTAATCAATTTTTGTTTCAACTTACAACTAACAAGTTTATGATGGAGAATTTGTACCTTCCGGTAGTCTCCAGTTGTGTGATGAGCAACATCTTCCTCAATAGACTTCTTATAAAGAACATGATAAGCCTTCTTTGCAGAAAACAATTGATCAGAAGATCTAGTGCAAGCTATTTCCACCAGAACTTGATTGCTCGATGTCCATTTTTCGTTGCTTCGTTCGCCAAAAAGGCATCGCGTTCCGCGGATTCAAGCGCCCAAAGATGAACTAGTCTCTGCGAGGAGAACATTCAATGTGCATATTATTCTCGTTATAGAACGGTTTTCTTATAAGTTTTCATTACCAAACATGTTACATCATGCCTCCCTCTTAAATTAATCACTGGTGCTAAAGCTAGATTTTCACAATAACTTAAATGTGCTCATCTAAGTATATACAAATCAAATGAGATCATAATATCTTAATTTATGAAACATATTATAAGCAAAAAAAACGACACTAACACCTCGATAATAATTTTAAAAAATAAATAAATTGATTGTAATTATAAAGTGTTGGAACCGTGTCTAAGTCCAACATGGGACCCCAATTAAGAAGAGAGAATGAACGAACCATGTGAGAATTGTAAGCGTGTCAGGTTATAGGAGATAGTGACTTCTGCAACGGAATTTGTGACGTTACTTGTTCTGTACAAGCAAAACTTCAATATTTTTAATATGTGAATAAGTGATAGCTTATGTGATTTTCTTGTTCTATTTTTATAACTACAATGATCTTAACTCAACTTTATTTTTGTTACATATGTTACACTGTTATTACTTTTCATTATCTTGTTCTTCCCTTGTTTAGAACTTGATAGCATGACTCTTTATTCCATCTTGTTATGTGACTAGACGCTGAGCCATATAATTATTATTCTCTTTATTTAGATATTCATTAATTTAAGTTTTAAGATGTTAACCATTTAACCAACTTTCATGATAATTAACCTACATATATTTAAAATTAAAGTAATTTTTATATTAATTGATGTTGTCTTGACATTGAAGACCGAATACATGGAGTGGGGTATGAGTACATGATCCATCTAATGAATCTATGATTCCATATGATTACTTTTACATGATGCCTAAACCATATCTTATAAATTCCTATGTTCTTCACTAATAAAACCAGTAGAATATTCGTGCGGCACCAATACAATTATAACAAAGTTTGTAAGTTACTAATTTATCAAAGCAAAAGTTTGTGGATATTATGATGGTAGATACCTGAAAAAGAATTTGGATGATTCAACTTGGTTTTGCAAGTGGACATAATGCTTTTCCGGTATAGTGGGCTAGAAGGCTGTGGAAGTAGATATCACTAATGAGAGTGACTTGCAAGATGTGTGAAGATTCTGCATTTGGTGGTCTTGTTCTTGGATACTATGTCCAAACATGGATTCCATATCACTTCTTAAAAGTATTTTCCTTTTATACTTCGCATAATTTTTCAACAATTACAACTAAAATCAAAATCATTTTTCCTTCAAAAACTGAAAATACAACCAATAAATAACAAAAAATATAAAAAAAACTGATAGATTTATACTATGAACAGTTTAAACGATAATAATAATGATAATCACCTGAACTTCAGAAAGCTTTCCTTCATTGAGAACTTTGAAAAGGGCAAAACCCGCCGGCGTTTCAAATAGTACCAGCATTTTACCAGATTTTCAACAAACCTGAAAAACAAATCATCAAATCTTGCGTTAATCTTGCAGTTGTGTTTCATGTGCAGTTTTTTATTATTTCACTTCCACTTCTTTGAACCAAGAACACTTGAATTTGAGTCACAGATCCACATTACAATCAAATGATTATATCTTGTTTTTATGTCAAAATGGAGTTTTGCTTTAAATTTAAATTTCAAGTCAAATTCAAATTTAATTTGAATCCAACTTGGTATGGGATAGACGTTCATGTTCTTTGTTGATAATGATACTAAGCAAATAAGGGAAAGATTGTGGAACAACGATCTAAAGAAAGTTGTGCATTTGGATAGAATCAATGAATCAATGGAACATGTCGGGAACTTACTATATTCAATATCATTTTATAAATGTTGAATTTTACCTTTTTTGAGATTTGACAGAACTTGTTTTTACATATAATGAAGTTGGACATAGTCCCTATTTGACAAGTTTAGCTCTAATGTTGCAACAACTTAAAACGTGAACTATTTGATGCTTTGTTATTCATAGAAAATTGTAACACAGACTAGTGTGAAGCTTGTTTAATGTCCAGACACAACACTTCAGCTTGCTATCGGATTAAACAAATCAAGAACTACATAGTTAACAATCTTTTTTGTAATCAAGAACATCTTTGGAAAATGCATACTTGTCCTCAAAGTGACATTATGTATTGAGATCATTACGTGATATAAATGACAAATTACAATACTAATGTACCTCTATCGAATTCAATACCAGAATTATGTGTAAATATTTATGACAGGTGAAAATCTATACCAGGTAGCATCTAAGTAATGTATAACTAGAAGCAACCCCGAGTTTTAAAATACATTTTATACACAAATAAAGACCTTTTGAAACAACTGGTAAATACTCAGCTGAATGCAGACCTTTCTCTAGGGAGATGACAATTCTGTACCAGTCAGTATCATCTGAATGGGGAGTAAGGATTGATGCACATTACCTCTTCATCCTTTATACAAACATTTGCTCTGTGAGACTTGAATAACTCTAATGCAAAAGGAGTCACGTGAACACAACCATTCAAGTACAAAACCGAGAGACTTCTGCAACCGTCTCGTAATGCCTGCAGGCCATTATCATTGAGATTACGGCATCGATTAACATGCAGTCTCTTCAAATTCTGACAATATAACCCCACTGCTTGCCATCCAGATATCCTCACCTCATGACATAATGCTAAGTTCCATTCTTCAAGTAGTGTACATCCCATGGCTATTGCAACAATAGAAGTATCGGAAACAGATCTGCACATTCGAAAGTTAAGGACTTTGAGGTTTGAGGACAATCTTATTCCAAGCAAGGTATCTCCTAAGGGATACCAACTTAAACAAGATACGTCTAGATACTCTATACCACCGCCACTAATTATTCCCGTCACCCCTTCTGGGTTGAGCTTACAAGACCAAGCCTCTACATGTGTGAGAGATTTTGAACACCCTTTGAAGCCAACACCTCTTATACTCTCACAGTGTGATATGTTAACTGCCTGAAGCTGACGACACCTCTGAGTAAGAGCTTTCAACCCTTTGTCGGATATTTGTGAGCAGTACGAGAGGTTTATGCATTTCAAAGATAAACAAGCAGTGGCTAAAGTCTCTAATCCGTCATCAGAAATGTTGATACACCGATAGAGACTAATTGACGTCAATGAGGGACAACCAGAAGCAACCAGGGATAGCCCGTAATCAGTAACTTTCAAACAACAATCTAGATTAAGTTTCTGTAAATTCGAACCATAGCTTAGCAGACGGGTTAATCCTGAATCATTGAGCTTCGTACAACCACATAAGGATAAAGACTCTAAATGTTGAAAGCGCATCAGTAGCCTATGGAGATGGACAGTATGAACATCAAGACCCTTTCTCGACAAAGAGGATGGATTTAATATACTGAATGAACACTCAAATTGCAGTGACCGGCGGTTGAAATTCTGAATATGGAGCCACCGTAGTCTATCATGTTCATTACAAGTTGTTCACAAGCATTACAAAACCATTATCATCACAAGTCCTTTACATCATACAAAACTTTCACTCTCTCACTTGGCTCACGATTCATTCAATCAGAAAATCACACAAAAAACTCAGAAGGAGATTCACAGAAAGAAAGAAAAACTCACCTTCTGGTTATCTCAAAACAGCATCATCACCTTCCATTTTTCAATCGTCCTCAATGCATCTTCACTGAATCAATAACTTCATTCGTTCATCATCTTCATCAATGCAACTGATTCTGCAACTTCAACCGAAACACATCACCACGGTAAAATCGAAAGAAAATTGAAAAGAAGTAGAAGAAGATTGAATCAATAATTTATATACCTTGATATTCGGATGATACAAAGATCGCGCAGAAGATGAAGAAGATTGAGTCGAATCGAAGAATGGAAGCTTCACCATTCTAGGCGCAACATCGTACTTCCGGCGGTGGTTCTTTGCTTCAATCGGATAAAAAGCTCTTTCACAAAACCTAATCCTCTTCCAATTTTGTTTGTTACTCCTATTTTGTTTTTTTATATTTTTATTTGTTGTATTTTGTTTATAATTTAATAATAAATATTAGTTGTTGAAAATATTATGATATTGTGTTGATATTATGATATTGTGTTGCTGAAAAAAAGTGGGAAAGTAAAAGAATAAAAAAAAGTAGCCTAACCGTCGTGACAACTGTCGCAATTCAGGAATAATGCTTGAAAATCTACGACGGTTGAGCCTAACCGTCGTGACAACTGTCGCAATTCAGGAATAAGGACGGTTTTGTGGGAACTGTCGCAATTTATGTGTCGTAAATCTCTTTTTTTCTTGTAGATCATTTGATATTGTTTTGTTTTGCCAAAAACACTTAACATGCATCATGGCCCATTATTGAAGGCAACAAGTGGAGTAACCCTAGGGGTGCAAGTGTGATTAGTGTTGTCCATTTTCATGTTTTTTTTTGTCTTTTGAATTAGGTCAAGCTAATTGTCATTTGATTTTTGCATACAAAACCCTAAGTGTATCATGGCATATTTAGAAAGCTTTTAAATGCGAAAAATAAAATCCTAAATTATTACAACACAATTATGGGATGGGGGGTACAAATGTTCAAATGGGGATATTTAACAAGAAATTAAAATCTAAGCTATTACAATCCAAGTTGGATATACAAATTATTTAATGGTACAATAATTAAATAAAATACAAGAAATATGCAAGATGCAAAACATGATTTTTATATGTAAAAGTATTTTTTTTATGTGAAATATAAACAAAAATAAAAGAATCAATTTTTTGGATATTTTGTGTTTTTAGGGTAAAACCCTAATTTTCTAAATAATAATATTTATCAATTATATTATATACAATATTTATTAATTATATACAAAAATAAATAAAAGAGAAGTATATTGTAAAAAGGTAATTTTTGAGGTCAAATATTAATAAAAATAAAAATGTATTATTTTTATATTTATCCTAAATATTTAATAAAAGATAGATAAGTATTTATATTATTTACTAAATATATTAAATATGTACAAAAATAAAAATATTTATTATTTACAAAAAAAAAGTATATTTTTTTAGAAAATGTTTTCAAAAGATAAAATAAAACAAAATCAGAAAATAAAATGTATTTGTATTATTTTTAGTATTTTAAATAAGAGTATATATGTATTTATTTACAAATGGAACTAAATGAAACAAATAAATACCAAATAAAATGCAAAAATTGTGAGAAAAATATTTTTTAATGTTTTTCCATGCTTGAATAAAAATATAAAATCAGAATAAAAAAGAAAAACTCAAAAATGACAAATATATCATGCAATGGGCCATGGGGTGCAAATTGAAAAAAAGGAATGCAAAAAGTAGGACTGACTCAGGCCCAGCCCAAGCCAGTCATCTTCAACCTCCAGACTTGTTTGAACAAACAAAAACGCGCGCTTCCTAACTCCTGATTCCTGGACTTTCAAGCAAAACTCATAACACCAAAAATGTAGAGCATCAAGAGACGAATCCAGACATATAAAAAACTTGTCTTAACTCTAAGAAACGAGGGAGAATTTCTTCATCCCCAATTTCTGACCTAAGTTTTTTCTAATGTTCAGGTTCCAAATTCTCTTAACACACACACACATTATAAATGAAAAGTGAGGATATAGGTAGCTTCAGGGCCATGAGTAGAGCATAACTTCTTCACAAACCTAAGCCTAAATCTTCCTAGATTGAGAGATAGAAGTCCAAACTTTTACCTGTTCAGCTTGAATCGTGTGCAACAATGGAGGCACTTTCAATGCAAAGTGAGGAATTGTACAGCTTGCTTGAAGTTCAGGGATGCTTCTCCAATGCTTGGTGTGCCTTGAAACTAACTGAATCGAGCTATGTAACTCAACCTGCACAACTGAAAAAATGAAAATGGTGAACTTGGTTAGAGGTGTTACAGTCTGTAGCTAGGGCTTGGGATAGCTTGTATGGATGTTAAGGAGTGTGTATGAACAAACTTTGGCCAAAACGCACGAGCAAACTGAGTTGTGCAACTCAATCTGCAGCGATGCCCTGTTTTGTGCAGCAAAATGGTGTTTTGATGTTTGGGGAAGTATTGAAGGTGGTTAGGTCATGCATTAGGTCTGTTAGGGAGTATGGAATGTGTTCACAATGTTTGCTTTGGCTAGTTGTTACAGGAATGAGAGATGGGATCAGTTTTGCAAAGTTTCTTCTATCTTAAGCAAAAGTTGCCAAGTTAGGTTGTAGGCCAAGGCAGGTCCCTCAAGCATGCTGCATAATCTCTCCTTGATCAGTGGGATTAGTTCATAATCTTGTGCCTAGAAGATATGCTTTGTACTTCTTTGATTTGTGTTTAGACATAAAGTGCACCTTTTCAAAAATGACTAAGTTACTTTTTCTAATTATGGATTAAACTTCCATGTAATGACCAAATGAGCAAAATAATATCTTGGCACAAAG